TCTCAGACCTGAGCTCCTCCAGCTTTAAGGATATGAGTGACACCAGCTTTCTTGGCACAGTAGAGGACTTCCTAAAGAAGAAGAAGAAAAAAAAAGAGTATTAGTCATCAGGAAACTCCCATTATCATTTTACCACTGTTGGAATGATGGGAAATAAAAGATACCTTGCATATGCTGCCATCCTGGCTTGGAGGTGTGGCAAGAACTACAGTTTTGCAGCCAGCAATTTTGGCAGGCTAGAATAACAAGCAGATAATGACGTCAACATTATTCAAAATTTTGAAACTTCTTAAAATTTAGAGGACTAAGATAATAAAAGTTGCAACTCACAATTGAAAGCATAAGAGCTGTGGATGGCAATACAGCAGTCCCTCCTGGAACATAAAGTCCCACTGAACCAATGCTTCTCGCTACACGTTTGCATCTAACTCCCTGACTTTGAAAAAATCAAATCCCATTATAAGATGATAATAAAAAAAAAGTGTAAGATAATGGAATCAACCAATGTCTCTATGAAACTTACCTTCATGTTCTCAACATTTCTCTCCTCCGACTTTTGAGCAGCATGAAATGCATAGATATTGTCATAAGCAACATCGAAGGCCTTTTTTATATGAGGATCAAGCTGCAATATTGAAGATGTTAAGAAAAAGAAACTGGTTTTTCAATAACAAAGAGCTACATAATCTAGTAGGTCTATTGTAGATTATATAGGAGAACTGGTTTTTCAATAACCAAAACTAGATTTTCTAATCAAAAATTTAAAATAGTCCTTGAGAAGTATCTTATGAATACCTCAGGCTCTGGTAAGTCTGCAACATCTTCAACCACCTTATCCAGTTTGACTTTGTCAAATTTGACGGTATATCTGTTAGGGGATCATTACACCAAGTAAGTTCATACTGCAAGTTTGGACGTGTATTGAAAAGAAAAATGGGAGAAAAACAGGATGTATATGGTCACCAAAAGCAGAGAAAACGTACTCCTTCACTGCATCATCACCCCGAGTGCGGACATCATCAACAATGGGTTGGACCTAAAAACAATCTAGAATTAAAAAGACTCCTTCAAAACTGACTGCTGTATTTTCAAAGATGAAAGAGAGATCCACCCCCCCCCCCCCCCACCCAAACAACACACACACACTCAAACACCCAAAAATACACTCATCATCCAATGGAGAGAACAAAGGTGGCTACTAAATATGGTGGGATCCATTGAAATATATCCTATTAAGAATTTGAGAGCGTGTTAATGGAAAGGAAAAGTAAAGGGGAATAAGATAACTCACCACACTAAATATAGATGAAAAATCGATGCGGGGACGAGATTTCAGATTATCAACCTCAGACAAAGAAAGTTCAGATAATTTGTAAGACTTCAAGGCACAGTTTACCCCGTTGCTCATTGAACCTATGAATGTAAAAGCAGCACACAATTGAAGCATGCACTATAAGAGAAAAGAAAAAAAAACAAAAAAAACTCAAGGACACAAATTTCCCAACAAGTGAGTAATACTAAGGTAACAGCACAAAGTTCTTAACAACAATATTACACCTAAAACAAACAAAGTTAATCACCAGATTACAGAAAAATGAGCATGTCGTCAACAAAAAAAGTTTCAGTTTGCACCAGAGCATTACATGATACTGATACAAAATTGTGTTTACTAGTCCCTCCATTCAGAAATAGTTGCTACCTTGTCTCAACCCATCATAGGATATGACAATTTTACTAAATTACTGTGTATAATAATTGGGTCATACCAACACTCTACAATCTCTGAACTCAGTTTTAGTAGGGTCGTGAAAAATAGTCATAAATAATTACTATTAGAAGAAAGTGACAAGTTCTTTCAAACATTCCAATTTCCAATTTAGTAAGTACGAGTATTATTTGGCATCAAATGGTCTATCGAGTGTAGTAAGATTAGTTAAGAGCTTTAAATAGGGTGACAAGAGGATTGGGTAGCTTATGTAAGCACCCTTTGATCAACACAAAACTAAGAGTCACTATGCAGGAAGAGAGAATTAATTTACATAAACTTGTATTGTACTCGGCCACTCGGGTACCAATATCTTGGCATATGTCAATCTGTCCAATGTAAACTGTACAGGATAATGTTTGACAACTTTATTACTTTGACAATCTTGACATTCCATTGTAAAGTGATAGCCTTTGTTATGCTTTATTTGTTATCGAGCACTCTAGCCTTGTCTCCTAGACTAATTATATCTTATTATTAGCTCTAGAACTTTCACTTAGCAGTTAGCATATGATTCCTGCAAACATATATAATGTAAACCTATCACATTAATATACAAGTTTTTCTACTTCTCTGTATCCAAGTGTCAAACTTTGGCCATATTGGAAAAATTAGCATTTTTTCATCTCAAAGTAAAGTCTCCATGGGCCTGTACCTATGTTGTATGGTCAAATATCCGTGTAATATTCCTCGTATCAGAAAGCCTTAACAAAATTCATTAAAAACTTATTTTAATTTCACTTGCTTATACTATGCATCAATTCACTTGCTTGTCACAAAAATAACAATACGAAGTAGAAGTTACAGAACTACTTCGTAATTTATAGCAAACTACACTAACAAAAAATAAACAGCTCTAGCTCCAGGGGCAGGGAACTAACTATTGAAACATCATCAACTTCTACAACTCAACATGATATGAATAAAGATTGTTCATACAACACTAATGTAGTAATATTGACAACTTTACATCCTAAAGACGCAAGAAATGGAGTACAAAAAAATTAAAGCATGAGATTAATTGAGTTAATAAGTAAGAGTACAATATACCTGATGACCAAATTCGAGGCCGGAAACTAGGTTTCAACGAGCAGGGAGAAGGCAATCGAAAGGAACGAGCTTCAAAAGGGTTGAATAGCAAACTGGTTCGATGTAAGCATACAAGTTTAGTCTCCATCACCAACTCCTTCAACAAGTCTTAATTGAGGCAATTTATCAAACAGTTTGTGTGCAGAACATAAAAATACAAAATTTATTGATGCGCAACTATCCAATTAATAAACAAAGCTTCCAATTCACAAATATATAGCAATAATACTTAATTTAACAACAGAAATAACGAAGAACACAATATCAAGAAACAAAATAACAAATCAAATTTAACCAATTACATGAATTGAATTTCAAGAATTAAAACAAATCAATTATAGGGGAGAAACAATCGTAAATTAAATGACAGTAAATGAATCGAATTACAAACGAAAAAAAACAGCCTAAATTAATCTACAATTAAGGGGATAGAAAAAAGAGAGGATGATTTTACCAAATTGCTAGAGAGAGAGGGTCAGGTGTCCAGTGAGTCTAGTTAGAAAGCTTTGTCAAAGGAGAGAGAGTTCGTCGTGGCTATTATAAAATGTCCAAAAGTAAAGATAAAAAAAAAATAATAATACATACCCATGCGATATGAAATAATCAACTAATACATACCCACGGACCCGTGCGATATCAGTAATACATACTATGACAGTTAAGATGTCATCAAGTGAAAAAAATAGTACATTAGATAGTGTAATATAATAATGTTGTTTCGGGTGAAAACAATGGGACCTTGTCGAAGATCCGATGAAGTGGAGAAGACTGGATTCGGTCCAAGTGATGTTGGGCCGAAGGTTTCCTGCACAGTAATCACACGTAAACTAGCCTCGGGGGTGTTGCCGAGGAAGGCCCCTCCGATGCTAAAGTCAGTACAGTGTGTAGAAAGAGAATGATATGCAAGAGAATTAATTGCTTGAGGCTTTGTTTGAATGAATGTACAAATGTAATATTGATGGCTTTTATACCTTTGCATATATGGAGAAGTTGGGCCTTAGCCCAATGGACTTGCCTTGAGGACTGATCTTTGACTTTAGCACAATTGGAGAGTTGAACCTTGACCCTTGGGCTTTTAATTGTATCATTTAATGACTAGTCCCAATTGGACTAAATTGGACCCAAACAAATGTTATTAAAATACATTTTGTATTATGAGTGAGGGATAACTCAAGTGGTTAGAGCTCTCCTCTCTCTTCTAAAAGATTTACGGATCGATTCTCCTCTCCCCTCTCGGTTTGGTTTGCGGTATATGATGAGACGCCATTTTTTCATCAAAATTGTTAAATAATACATAATTAACTTATAATAAAGTTTAAATAATTAGGCCAACGGGATTAAACTATATTACAAATTTACAATAATACGAGTAATAATAATTCAAGTGTTTACACATAATACAATAACAATCCGTTTATAATCATAAATTCATAATACAATATAGTCATTATTATAATCTATAAACATGACAAGATTAATAACATCATGGGCTAGCAGTATTACTACATGTCCAAGCACTCATCCAACAACAACATATTTTTATTTACCTACTGACCGTATAGTCGTAGACTCATATACCCGGTTGTATTTTGATTTTTCATATTTTGATTGTTTTTTTTATTAATAATAATTATATTAATTTATTTAAAAATTATATAAATATTAAAATATGGTTTGCTGGTTTACGGTTTGGTTTGGTTTATAATTTTTGAAAAACCAAACCGTAAACCGTAGTTACAAAAAAATCGAAACCTTACAAACCGTAAACCAAACCAAACCAAACCTCTAAAATGCGGTTTGGTTACGGTCCAAACCAAACTGTGTATAGCCCTATCACTCACCCTTGTCACTCTCTAAATAGTACAAAATTGTATGATGCTCATACAACACGTGTATTTACCCAGATCGACTCTTTTTTAATATGCTAACTACAGTACAGTAAACGAAATCATACATAGAAGTGAGCTACGAAACGGTTTTTATCGAATGGTCATATACAGTAGAAGTGAGCTATGAAGTGTTTTTTCGCATTATAGGGCTAATTGCTAATTAGTTCACCTTAGGGTAAGGAGGGGAATGTCATCTGCACGAGTTTGCGTAAGTAGCTCTCTGTTTATTTGCTCTCTTATGAAGCATTATGCAAGGCTGATTGATTAACACAATGCGGAACAATATTCCCATTGCAAAGACTTAAAACAACAGCAACAACAACAAGCCCTACACGTAAACTCCACGCTTTCTAAGCTATGGTAAAGCCGTGTGGATCCTAACAAAAGCAATTAACAAAAATAAAATACGAATCAAATTGAACTCAGATGGAGATGCTGTTTGGAACTCCCTTACCAGTGACCCCAACATCGGATTTAGGCCTCAACAAATCATAAGGTAAAACACCAGCTCCATACCTATGCTTTAGATTTTTATCTTTCCCATTCCTGTATGTAATATCATGGTCGAGTTTATCTAAACCAGCGTGAAATTCGCTAAAAGCAATTCTTATCGCTTCTTCTGCCTTCCAAGATGGCTCTATATTTTGGCCTATATATTCCTCTTTGCTTGAATGACTTGAAAGTACATCCAAAAGTGCCATAACTTTAGCTGCCTGTTGCATCGATGGGAAGCATTCGAGGAGCGTAGTCACAGGACTTGCAATAAACTTGTCCCAATTGTCTGGATCTGTATAAATATATTCTGAAGGCATCTTTGTCCTAGTAATAGTAGGCCTGTTTGGGAAGTAACCTGCGTAGGCATATTGCCCAAAGTTGACAGCTGCATGGTGCCCCGAAGCAACCCATATTATGGTTGACACAATTTTGATTAGATCTTCTGGATTACTTAGATTTATCCACCCTTCCTTCTTGTCCGGATGCCCTTTTGTTTTTACCTCCTTCCACCAACCTTGAAGCTCTTCATCAGTTACAACTAGCCCCGGATCTTTGTAGTAGTGGTTCACATACTGTGTTACCCACTTCTTAATACAACACCATAGGTCTAAGCCATCCATCGCGTATGGATAGTCCTCAATTACGAGCCTCACTCCAGATTCAGCTGATGAATCTTCAACAGCCATTCCCCTATTATTTTCAACACATAGATACGTATATGTATTAGTTAAGATAAGCAACAATTATACAAGGCTAAGCTAGCTCCAAATAATTCAATAATGCTAAATCAAGAGTTTAAATTACCTATGTAGCAGGTCATCTGGTAAGGCTTCACGATCAAACCGCCACTCCTTATCATAGATATAAGAGCTCATCTCTAAGCTGTATTTCTCAGGTGAGAAAGTGCTCTCAATGACACCGCCTACATTAATCAAAGCTAGTCTAGCAAGGGCGTTGATCTCCATAGTGTACCGGAAATGAGGATGCAACAACCTATATATTGGGTGCATTGCACTCAACTGTCGATTCGCTGCGATTATGTAAGGTTCCATGCAGCAATGTGCTCTAAGCCTGAATATTAACCATTGAACCGCAACAAAAATGTTGTTAAAATAGTTTCCATAGCTTGTTATCCGATCATCTCTTGTAATTAAATAAATTACAGGGGAAATAGACTAAAAATATATATATATATATATATATATATATATATATAGATGAGAACAAGCTAATATAAGTATAAGAAAATAAAATACCAGTGGCTGATAAGTTGGTGGTAGCTAGAGTCATGAGCAAGGACATGAGCCTTGGCAAGCTTCCAAAGCCATCCTTTAGTGGCTTCGTTTCTTGGCATAAACACTTTCCGATACGGTTCAGGAAAATCCTTAATTGCAGGCCGAGATAACTCAATGGCAACAGGTTTTAGTGTATTTCCCTCGTCGTTGATGAACAAAGTTCGTGATCCATATAAAAATCTCCCTGAAATCTCTGAGACCCTTGCCGCGTATTTCATAAATACATCGTGGTAATCAATAATGAATAATCTCTTCCTGTCCAGTGCCTGCATTCATAAATTTAATTGTCCAGTTTAGAAAATCATGAGATTGATATACTAGTACATCATTTTAATTAATAATCGCAATTGATCATATGGTAAAACCTCTTTTAAAGTTATGTTATGTCGTCGTTTCAACTCATCGTCCAGCAGTTTGTCTGTCAAATGTGATTTCCGAAGTTGTTTGTCTGTCAAATCTGATTTCTCAAGTTCTGGTTCCTGGATACTATCCAGCAGGTCACGCTGCAACATTAGTACACATCTAATTAGCAGGTTTACTATTATTTTTCTTGTTTCAAATTAAATGGTAATCTATTACATTACACCTTAACAACAATAAATCATACGGAGTAATACAATAAGTCGTGTTTTATTTAAATGCTAGTAATTTTACAGACATCAAATAACCCACTACCAAAACTTAGCAAAAAGGTTGACTTAATTCAATGACTAGTTGATTATTATATTGAAATAATCTAAAATAGAGATGTGATTATATACTTTAGGAGTTTAGGAACAAAAGGAGTAAGCATCTAGATTAAATTTGCATATCATACCGTGACAAGCTTGATTCTTAAAGGATTGATGCCAGCAACAGTTTGACGAGCAAACTCCTCATCCTTAAACCATGAAAATCCATCGCCTACAAGTCAACCAAAACAAACCTTAGCTTGTTAATTACTCCGTGGTTAGCATATCTATAACTTAACTCTTGTAAAAATATTCCATAATTAATACGAGTACAAAACACATAATATATTTGTATCACTCCCTAATCTGCCCGTCTCATAATATTAGTCAATTTGATTTCTTATGATTTTGGAGTACAAGTTTATCTAGTGAATTTTACTACCTCAGTTAATTGTTATGTGCAACTTTTAGAGTATTATTTGTGAATTGTGAGATTTAAAAAATTCCAAAGTTGCGGAGTAGATAACAATTAACAAAATTGCTCTATATGATGACTATATATACTCCCTCCGTTAATTTTTATTTGCAACTTTTGTCATTTTAGTCCGCTAACCATTATGTGCAACTTTCTATTTTATTTCTATTTTTAGTACACAAAAACCCTGAAAATTACAAATTTACCCTTCATTAAAACTTCTGATTTAATAATTTTACTAGTGGTTTACTCTCACTAATGTTTGCCCCTTAAATTTTGCCTCGTGAACTGCAAAACCCCCCAAAGTTACAAATAAAAATTAACGGAGGGAGTATATATATGATAATATTTTTCCTTAGACATTATTATAGACCGGCCTATTATACTTTATAAAATAGGAGCAAAGCTTCTAAATTTTGACTTTGAAAAGTCAAATGCGGTAGTTATTTTCGGATATGGTTAGTAATTACGTAGTATTGTTCTTACGTTCAAATGTCTGGGGAAGGTTAAAGCGGAAAACATTTTCTGCAGCATCAGAGGTTCTTCTGATGAATCTAGCAAGCAAATCTCGCCAAAAACCGTGTTTAACGATTTCAGAACACTTGACTCCTTCGTTGAAGAGCATATTTATAGCCGTCATGAATGGAAATCTCTTATTGGGATCGTTGAACTTGGTCACCAATGGTGGTATTACTTTATGCAGCGTCGTAAACAATAGCCTAAATCCGAATTCTTCCGATTTCAGTTCTGAAAATGCTTCGTCTCTAGGTACATATACAGCATCTCTAAATACGCGTTCTAAAAAGCCGCCTGCACAATGAGGTATGTTAAATTAGCTTTTAGAAATTAGAAAAAACTCCCTCCATCCTTGAATAATTGACTTTAGCACACATATTAATAAAACAATATAAAAGCTCTTATATTATGAAACTTTATGTAAATACCTATCTAACGACATATTTCATGATATAATTTGTTTCTAATTAATGCGTTACCAAAAAACTTCGACTAAAGTTATTAATATTCATTGATCATTTTCAGGTAAAAGGTTCGATAATAACTACATACTGCCATTAATATAGTTTTAATCGGTAGACTTCATCCATTCTCTTTTCGTTACAATAGTTAGTAATTTGCTCTATTTACAATTTTTTTTGCTTCTTTTGACCACCTTTTTTGATTAAGTATGTTGAGCAAAATAATATATTCACGTGGAATCGATGAAATTAAATCAGTTTTAATATATATTCTACGTGCAATATAAGTGATGGGAGTACATACCTTTTCTGTTAATAAAAAATCCTGTTTTACAACGTCTTGGATAAGGATGTTTAGGACCACCTAAAGGAGGTCGATAGTTTGGGTTTCTCTCGGGGTCATCACCAATAACGCCAGCAAGGTCATCAAGGTCGTTGTAAATGTCATAGTCATAGATTCTGTCATATGGCTTGCGTTCCTCCCTACGTCTTGTATCCCCTCGCAAGATTTCAAGTTCAAATGTCCGTAGCCTCCTCAAACCAACTGGGGTGTCCATTGGCAAGTACGACTACAACATAAATAATAAATTCAATGCAAAAGTTCAATATTACATCAAACTAGTTACATGTTAAGTACTCTATCGCATTCGGTGTTTTCAAAAAAAAAAAAAAAAAAGGTATGATCTTCTCAGTAAAAACACACTTAAATTAATAAAAATACATTAACAACACACATTTATTCCTCTGCCTAGCTAAAATACATATACAAGGCAGTATTTAATAGTTGTAATCGATTGGGAATTCACTCAACAAGATCAGCGCTCATTTTGAAATTAGAACATATTTTGAAAAAAACACATTGTTACATAAGAAAAGCACATTAGGTTGTCGTTTTAGCTGATTACATGTAATAAATCTACATATAATCGAGTGTATGATTGCATGTACGAGCTAGTAATGAAAGTTTATAAAGTACGTACCTTTTTAGCAAAGAAGACCCTTTGTTCAGGGGCAAGGCCTTCTCTACACAGCCATTCAGGATCGGAGGATTGGACCCATGAATTACAACTAATTACAATTGGGTCGACGTCGTCTTTTGTATGTGAGAGTTCCGTGAAGCGTTCAAGGACAACGTCAATGACGTGCATCTCAGTGAGGTGTTCATTTTCAACAAGCACTGCACCCACCTCTCCGAACCCTGCCTCAAGGTCTATATAAGCCACAATATTTTGCCAACTGCCCATTCACTTTTTGAGGCCTACACCTATCGTCCCTAGCCGTTGAATGATAGGCTTTCGCTTTAGTTGTTATGTTCTCGTTGGTTGTATCTTCAATTCAAATTAATCACCAAGGGAAAAACAGATTAGACAATCTTATGCCTATATTTTTAATTGAACATAAATCACTACCAAAGAGTGTCAAAGTATAATATGCATGTTAAAAGTGTTAAAAATCATCTTTAACGTGTCCCTAAAATAAAACGCAGAAGCAGCTTAATTTGCTTCATGCTACTTTTGATTATAGAGATGACAAGCAAGTTTTAATCTCATGACTACTTTATTAACCCCGCTACCTTTCATTCTCATCAAATTCTTTCAACCATGCATAAATTAAAACAAGTAAAACTCGCTCTTCCAATGAAGCAAATGCAAACAAAAGGGGGCGCAGGGAGTACTTACGTGGAATATACTCCGTGCTAATAAGCTGTAAGGTGAAGACGGCTTCATGAAACAAATCAGCACAAGTATCAGCTGCTATGCTTGGAATGTGGGTTACGTATTCAAGTACAGATGGTAACTGTACCCAGATGGTGGCCTTAAAATGATCCTTGTCACATACCTGTGACTTAGCTAATTTGATTTTATTAGCATTTTTGGAGTGTATATCACATCCAAAAATTGATAGCACAAAGTTATAAATTTGGGTGACCCATTTGGGCATCCTTTTGAGTAATCCCAAAATGATCATCATTCTCAATATTGTAAGAATTGACACAATAAGCAATACGACCCACGAGAATAACCAAACCCATATATCCATTGGCACGTCAATTGAAATGCCTATAAATAGATAATGGGGAGTGATCGATCTCAGTGTAGCCACTAAAAGCTTAACAAGACTTTTCTACATAAAACAAACCTAGCAAGTGATGATTGTTTCACACTCGAAATAATTTTTGTGCGGATGTCTTTCGACAATTTTCTTAACTAGTAACCAAAAGCTCGAGATCAAATTAGATCAGAAATGAAGGAGAATACTTACAAAAGCTTGATTTTTAAGATGACAAATGGATATACACTAGGGTTTCTTTTTATAGAGGGTGAAATATGGACACTGGACATGCATGGAATTGAATCTTTAATTTTTTATTGTAGTATATTAGGAAACTAATTATGATTAGTAGATTATTATTATTAATAATTATAGTATCATGCTAATTAATGAAGATGGGCACGTCGTGCATACTAGCGCAGAAATCATGCAAGTTTGGGAGCGGTCGAGTACTTTGCGTTGGCCACATGGTTTATGTCAATATAAAACGTTTACTATGTTTGGGGTCATATTTAATTACTCTTGGTAAGTATAATTAGGGAAAGTAATATTCTAATTGACTTTTGTAGACTATAGATTAGCACGACTGCACGATGCAAATATGGCAACTAGGCCAATAACAATTTCGGTGGAGGTTGAACCAAGTTAATTAAAGTAATACGGAGTAATTATATAGACGGCCCACTAGGCCCAAAATTATGATCCAATTATAAGGTATTTTGGGTTCATGAGATAAGTATTCCATATTCGTATACTCCATAGACCATAGCACATTCAATATCTAGTACTCCGTTTCTAATTGGTCTAAACTACATCCTTATGCAGCTAAGATAGCTATAACAGGCCCAAAACGCATGTCCAACACAATACGCGAATATTTCTCCCTAATAAAATGCAGCCCACCCCACAAAAAAATCTTTGTTCAGCTGTCCAAAAGTGCGGGAAGAACGTTAAGAAATTTTAAGCACAAATTCTCCAAAAAGACGGGTGTACGTTAATTTATTGTAAGACGAGTTGAAGTAATCTTAAAAGTATTTAAAGTTGCCCTTTATATTACAAAAGTTATTATTTTTCTAATATTAATTTTATGTTACAAAAAACTTATAATGTATTAAATTAATCTATAAGAAATTACACATTAAAATAAAATTTAAGCCAACGAAAAATTAAAAGTTATCCTTTAAGGGGTTAAAGTTACCATAAAAATAGTTAAAGTTACCTTCAAACTGACTTACAATAAAATTAGCGTACAATCGTCTTACACAAGACTTATTGAGAAAGAAGGTGGCTGCTGTGTTCATTAAGTATTAGCTACGTTTGAGGGGTGATGCAGCTAGCTTGGCTGCATAAGCATGCAGCTAAGAATTTACGCTCCGTATCTACTCTCTCCTAGTCCTCCGTATATGATATTTTGCTTCATTCGACTTTTTTCAATTTCTGAACGCATTTTAAAACGATTTTATCTTCAATTTCATACGTGTAAAAAAACATAAAATATTTCTTTTGACTCAAAGAATTAGGGATAAAGGGATTTAATTAATCAACCCGTCTAGTTTCTCCTCACCAATGTCGCCCGTAGCACCGTCGTCATCACCGGCGACACCATGTATCATTTCCCCTCTTTCTCTTTCCTCTCTTTTTTGTTGGGTGATTAATAAAACCCTAATATTTGATTAACTTCTTTAATAATTAAAAGGGTAGGGTTAGTTATGATATGAGATCAATTTGTTGGGTTGATGGACTGCTATAATTTGTATTTGCTATAGTTAGTTACCCCTAATTTTTTGATTAATGATTTCTTTTTAAATTAGTGGAAATTTAATTTTTCTTGAATCAATTTTTAGTTATTAATGTCATGTTTTAGGAATTAATCTCCCTCCAAGTGAAATATAAATTAAATTGTGATAAATTTATAAGATTGTTGGTGGTATTGCTGATTCATGAATGATCATATCTACTAATTTGGTTGATTTTATTTATTTGTTTGTTTTATTTTGGAATGAGCAAATGTTTAGAAGGCTTATCAGGTTATAATGTCTTTCAATTTCCTCTGTTATGTAAACAGTTGCTGTATTGGAATATTTTCAAATGCTGAATTGTGGTACAATCTAGACGTTGTTTATTGCTGATTAATTAAAGGTTTTATTTATTTAATTTCGTCTTAACATCTTGAAATTTATTGTTTTCTGAGTAGTTGGCTACTTGGCTAGCTTGGACATTGTTACTCCCTACATGTTTCTTATATATATTCAACTTTGATGCTCGGATTTATAACATTTGAAACATTCACTGTTAGGGTTGGTGAGTGCACAGCGGAAGCGAAAATATGTTTGATTGAGAAGTATAAATTGAATTGATAATTTGACAAGATAATTAATATAAATGAACACACGATTTTATGTAACAACGAACACTTTTATTCCACTATTTGAAAGTAGGAGAGTACAGGAACTCTTGAGAGGGTGAGTATCACAAGAGAACTCTCACTATAAGAAGTACTCACAAACGAGTATTACGATAGTAGTGGAATATTACAAGGAGGGAAAATCTTTTTGTAGAAAGGCTTGTGTTTGGTATGGATTCTTGTGTTGTGTTGTTGTATGATTGAATGCCCTTGACCTGTATTTATAGGTGTAGATGGAGCTTGGAAGATTTGTGTGGAAACTTCCACATATGTAGATATTTTTAAACTCTCCACATAAATTTAGAATTTTCATTAGTATTTAATAATTCTAGATTTTCCTCAATTCTCCATCCTTCTTGTGTCCATAATATTCTAGAAAATTCAAGTAGGATATTATTTCAGAAGCCTCTAGAATATGGATAATACTTCGACTAAAATAATGGGCTTATAAAATTTGGGTCATACCCAACATTCACATATATTTTTCGAAATCAATCTAGTTAAAATCTAGCCTAATCTGTTTGAGCCTTATAGTAAAATTCTTTAATCCCACCATCCAGTATTCCAGTGTACATGTATAACATTACAGCACGAAGGTGAGTATACAAAGAGCTTGTATAAACTTAGGCTTTGGTTTGTAAAATCTAGCTGTGTACCTGTATATCCATCCTTTGCAACTGTCACTGCATATTATGCATTATAGAAGTCAACTTGTAGGCATTATAGCCATTATTTTGTATACTGATTGAAATATTCTTTTGCCTGCAGTCTAAGTTTGATCAGCGTGGAAGAAATCGTCAGCATTTAGATCAGAACTAGCTGCATTGCTTAAAGACTTATGTACCTGCTTCATGGTTCTGGGGGTTTATGTTCTGCAATTCAGGTCTTTCCAGCTAACTAAGGTGATTCAGACTTTCAATTAGTTCAAATATGTTTGTGAATTCTTTTTGTGTTTAATCATTTGGCAATTCCCAATTTTCCATCCTAGTAACTTTTTTTTGTTACCGGAAGCAGTGAATTATTGAAAATGTGGCTGAATGTATGCTCAACATCCCTATATACATAATATGATAGTTGAATTATATTAGGCAAACTGCTATTAGGCTAATCTTGCTGAGTTAACTAAGTGTTCGGCAATACTATTGGATTTGCACTGCTTCTCTGAAATTTGTTTAGTATATACTTTGATGGTTTAATATGGAGTCTTGTAAGAATGACATTAGATGCTAATGAGTCCTCTGCTTCGTACCTTAGATGTTCTTGGCATCGCATCGTTACGTGTTTGTGTCATATCCTTTTTTCTGAAATGAAATAATGGTTTATTGATCATACTCATACAACACTATATTTAAAATGAAATTGAACAGATGAAAAGTATGACAAAATAAAAAGAATTTCCCCCTACTCCCTTGTTATACCAATAATTATGATGTGAAGCTAAGTTAAGCTAAATATCCCAACTTATTACAACCAATTAAAAAATCTCCTTTCTTCTAAAACAAAGTTGTATTAAAAGATTTTGAATTGTATTATATCGAAATGCTGTTTGGAACTCCCATACCAGTCACCCCTGATTTCGAAAATGGCTTAAGTAGTTGATATGGTAAGGTTCCTGCTCCATTTCTGTTCTTCCACTTGTTATCTGCGTTCCTTGAATCAACAACATTCTCCAAGTTTTTCAAACTAGCATTAAACCTCTCAAATGCTGTTTTTATTATTGAATCTTCTGCCCACGAAGGCTCGATTTGGTCGCCTATATATTCCTCGTCAGGAGAATGATTCGACAAC